GGAAGCCCAGGTCCCCTCCAGCACTGCCTGGGCCTCAACTCTCCATTCAAAGGCCACTCCCTGCATCTGGGCTAGTACCTACGCCTGTCCCTCTCTGCCCAGACTGTACCGGCTGCCCCAGCAGCAGCTCAGATGCCATGCTGCCCCTTAGAGCCTGGATGCCCATCACCCACCCTCTGCACACAGTCCAGATCTTGAAGCTCTTTAGGGGACCTGATCTTGGGAGTGCTGTCAGCTTCCTGCTAGGAACCTGACCAATATGGTAGGCAGCAAAGCAACATCTCCAGGAGGGTGAACACTGCAGGGTTTCGAGTCAGACAACGTCTGGAGACTGTCTGCGATTGAGCAATAGGGAGGACTGGGAGTCCCTGGCAAGAGTCCATGGGAGGACAATTCCAGGAAAAGCCAGCACAGCAGGCCGAGGGCACAGATACGAGTGGGACTGCAAGCAAGTACTTGACCAGCACTCTGAAAAATGGGACCGTCAGAGGCAGCGACTGGGGCCTACCAGAGAGAAGGAAGAGTCCAAACTGGATGAAAAACGTGAGATTGAGCTTATTTCTTCCCAATGTTAGTCTTGTCTTTCTGTGCACTTTAAATTGATAAATGTTAAGTTAAACATTAATAAAAGTATTAAGATACTTAAAGCAGAAATAAATACCTTCACATGAAATCCCAGGCCCACATGGCTTCACTGGTGAATTACACCAGACATTTAAAAAGAATGCCAAGCCAACATGAAATCTTCCATGATTGTGGGAGTTGGAAACACTTCCCAACTCGTTTTACAAGGACACCTCTACCCAGATACCAAAACCAGATTAATATATTTAAAAAAAAAAGAATACAGACCATATCCCTTATGAACATAACTGTAAAAATCCTAAGCAAAAATTAGCAACTTGAACCAGCAATAACTAAAAATCAAAACACTGTGTGATGAAGTATAGTTTATCCTAAGAATGCAGGGTTAGTTGAATATTCTGATAGCGATTGATGAAATTCATCACATTAAGACTAAAGGGGGAGAGAAAGATACAGAAACAGGATTTGACAGAATCCAACACCCATTCACCCAATCCAACCCCCAAAACAAAAAGCACAAAAAAACAGTCCTCTTAGCAAAGTAAGAATGAAAAGAACTTCCTTAACCTGATGAAAGCACTTGCGGCCAAGATCATCCTCATCCTCCTTCATGGTCAAAGACTAAATGTTTCTCCCAAAGAACAAAGCAAGAACCTCTGCTTTCACTTTTCCTCCACCATTTTTTAACGAAATCATTTTTGCAGAAATGATTTTAAGCCATACAGAAGATGAAAAGTACAGCAGTTGCCGCTTGTCTAGGCAGGACATACTCCCAGACCCCCAGCAGATGCCTGAACTGTGGACAGTGGGCCCTGTTTATACACACTGTACACTGTATATTTTCCTATATATATTTACCTGTGGTAAAGTTTAATTTATAAACTGGACACAGCCAGCAATTAACAACAGCAAATAGAACAGCATGCAGTCATAAAAGTCATGTGGATGGGGCATCCCTCTCTGAAAATATCTTACTGTGCTCACCCTTCTTGTGATGAAGGGACCGAGGGACAGTTCCCGCCACTCAAAGCAGCAGCAATTTAAAATATATGCATTGCTTTTCCTTTTGGCCGAACTTTATTCACACACCTTCCCTAACTCTTACAGTCTTTTCTCACGTGAAGGGCATCGAATCCAGTCATTCAATCTAAACCTTCTCCTCCCCCTCCTTCCCCAGCCCCCCACCTGTGGTCATCAGGCGTTAGGAGACGTCTTCCTAGATTCTTCTGGACTTGATCTCTTCTCCACTGGGTTCTCTCTTGGAAGTCCACTTCTCCATGAGTCTGGCATGTGCGGTTTTAATTGCTCTGCTGAGGTTTTCTTGCTTCACAGCCCAGACCTCTGTGCTTCTGCAGTTTTGTGTCATATTCTGAGTCTCACTCACAGTAGCAGAAACGCAGCGCTTAGCCTCTCTGCTCCACAGCAGCTGCTGTATAAAGCAAGCTTATGGCATGTGATGTCCAGACTTAACCACTGGTGATTCCTTTCAGAGTGTACCTGGATTTTTCTCTTTTGCTGAATCGAGATGCTTAGTCTTGGTTTTATGTTCCAGCCTGTACTGAACATAATCCAGGTCAGAGGCAACTTTCTGGAACTCTACCTCCAAGTTGAATAGTGGCCATTCCTCTATCCATGTTTATTTCTGGAGTTTGCCACTTAATAGTTTTGGACTTCAGTTGACTGCAGGTAACTGAAATTATAGATATCGAAACTGTGGCTAAGGGGGGGTGGGGGGAAGCTGCAGGATAGCACAGCCTTCTGGGGCCTCCAGCGACAGCCTGTCATGTGAGCGTGGTGCGTTCAGCACACCAGGACCCTGGCATCACTCTCCTTGCTTTTGTTCATCATCCTGTTGGTGCAATTAGCAAAGAAAAGTCAGTCAGACTGGAAAAGAATAAAACTGGCATTATTGGCCAGGGACAAGATTGACTAGGTAGAAAAACCTGAGAAATCTTCAAAAAATAACTACTGGAATAGTTGACATTAGCAAAATTGCAGGATACTAGGTTCATGTATAAAAATTAACTTTATTATGGCTACAGTGAGCAATTACAAGTTAAAATGTTTTAAATAACATCACTGACACTAGCACCAAAACCCATGAAATAGCTAGATAGAAATCTGAGAGAGTGCGTGTGAGACCTACACGCCCAAACCACAAACACAATGAAGGAATCAAAGACCCAAATATGCAAAACACTATACTGTCTCCCTAGGTCTGGGGATTCCATATTGGAAAAGAAAAGCAAATAGCTGGGCATTGTGGTGGCGCCTGTAGTCCCAGCTACCTGGAGGTTGAGGCAAGAGAATTGCTTAAGCCCAGGAGTTTGAGGCTGCTGTGAGCTGTGACACCACAGCACTCTACCAAGGGCGACATAGTGAGACTCTGTCTCCAAAAAAAAAAAAAAGAAAGAAAAAGAAAAGTCAAAAGACTTACACTTACTTCAAGACTTACTATGTAAGGCTATAAGCAATCAAAGAAGTGTACTATCACCTTAAGAAAAATAGACATATCTGCGGGTGGCACCTCTGGCTCAAAGGAGTAGGGTGCTGGCCCCATATGCCAGAGGTAGCGGGTTCAAACCCAGCCCCAGCCAAAAACGGCAAAGAAAAGAAAAGAAAAATAGACATATACTAGCACTCTGGTAGGCTGAGGTGGGTGGATTGCCTGAGCTCTGGAGTTTGAGACCAGCCTGAGCAAGAGCAAGACCCCATCTCTTAAAAAAAAAAAAAAAAAAACTAGCCTGGTATTGGGGCAAGCACCTGCAGCCACAGCTCCTTGGGAGGCTGAGGCAAGAGGATCACTGAAGCCCAAGAGACTGAGGTTGCTGTGAGCTGTGATGCACTTTACTGAGAGCAACGAAGTGAAACTCTGTCTCAAAGGAAAAAAAAAAGCCAGTTGCAGTGGCTCACACCTATAATCCTAGCACTCTGGGATTATAGGCATGATTATAGCCACCAAGGCGGGTGGCTTACCTGAGCTCAGGAGTTCAAGACCAGCCTGAACAAGAGTCAGACCCCATCTCTAAAAATAGCTGGGCATTGTGGCAGGCACCTATAGCCCCAGATACTTGGGAGTCTGAGGCAGGAGGATCACTTGCGACCAAGAGTTTCAGACTAAGAGTTTCAAGTTGCTCTGAGCTATGACACCATGGTACTCGGTGGAGGGCAACAGAGAGTCTGTCAAGAAAGAAAGAAGAGAGGGAGGGAAGGAGGGAAGAAAGGAAATCAATGAAACAGAAGAATGTCCTGAAATAGACCCGTATGTATGTGGTCTATTGACTTTGACAAAAGTGCCAGGGTAATGCACCTGAAATCCAAAAAACTGTCTTTCCACAGTGGTGTCAGGGCACCTCTATTCTCTACAGAAAAAAAAGGCCGCAACCCTTATCACCCACCATACCCAAAATCAATTCAGAAAAGACTACAGATTCCAACATAGGAGCTAAAACTGAGATAACTTAGGGGACCTGGAAAAATAGAGTCGGACCCCCACTTAGGTTAATTAAATTGGTAATTTATTTTACCTGCTGCAGGGGCTGCTGCTCCGAGAGACAGTCAGCACCTGGTGAGAGTGTGAGTTACCTTTTATAGGCTTTGTGTAAGCATATTACAGAAGTGAAACGTGGCTGGTTAAGGGGGGTTACAACTCAGGTAGTCATAGATACAGCAATGGAACTATAATTAATACAGTTTCAGTTGACAATGGATACATTTCATATCACAATGGTTATGGTTATACAAGAGTAATTAATCAAGTCTCAGTGAGTTTTCCACCATTGTTCATCTACTGAGAACTTGGGGGTTTTGTGAAACTTGCAACTTTTTTTCCTTGTACCTGAAGCTTGTTCTTGGCAACCCTAGGGGGAAGAAGGGGGCCTGGGAACGTGGCTGGGAAGCATGTTCTTGGCCACCCTGGGGGGAGGAGGGACTTGCCTTGTTCCTGGAGTCGACTCTGGGGGGAGGAGGGAGGAGGAGGGAAATGGGCTGGAGAGGGCAGGGGGAACGGGTGAGGGCTGGGGAACAGGTGAGGGTGGTGGTGGGTGGGGGGAACAGGTGAGGGCTGGGGAACAGGAGTGGGCAGGGGAAAGAGGGCTGGGTTACAACAAAACTACAACCTCCTAGAAGAAGACATAGGAGAAAACCTTTGTGACTTTGGGTTAAGAAAAGATTTCATAGATCTGATGCCAAAAGAATGACAAGTTGAGCTTCATCCAAATGCCACACCCTTGTTCTTCAGGAGACACCTAGTTCTACAGTGAGGCCTCTGGGTCTGACATCTCACATGCCTGGACTCCAGGGCTAAGGTTCAGCAAGCTGAGTTTTAAACATTCCCACGACGCTTCTCAAACATGTGTTCCTATCATTCCCGGGCCACTTACTTGGGTAAAAATAACCGGAGATGGTAAGTGAGGGTGGAGCTTCTGTGTCAACAGCGCCAAGGCCTTGATCCTGGTGGCATCTGGGAGCCATTAGGGCTCCTGCACCTGTTTCTTTAGCTGCTTCTGCCCCTGGGTCTTCACTGTTTTTCTGGAGGGGCTTAGACTGCCGGAAGTAGTCACTGAATGACCTCTGGGCTTGCTCTCTGGGACTCTAACCCAGCAGGACTGCCTGCCCTCGCCACAAGATTGTGATTTCATAGGCCTAGGCCTTGGGGGTTCATAAAACTGCCCTGTGATTCTCCTGTTCAGCCCAGCTGAGAACCACTAGTCAGAGATCACCTTCCAAGGGAATGACCCTCATCCCAAATGTTGTTACTACCTCGCTGAGCAATAAAGCCCAAGGGTAGACTACCACTTAGGCTGGCTGGACCCAGGGGCTCACAGGGCATCACTCACTTCTCTGCCCCCAGGGCATCATCCGCTGGGCACACCAGGCTCCTGCAGTTTGGGCCCGCATTATCCTTTAGTCTGAACCCAGCTCTTGCTAGGCTTCCTGGATCCAGGGGCTCCTCCCCAAAACCATCTATGTGCCCACAGGGCCTGCAGGGCTCAGACAGCCAGGTCTGGGGCCTCTTGAATTGCACAGCTGGGAGTGAGAGAAGGATGTTCTCCAAGGGAAAATCACGGGGCAGCTTCTCTGTGGGAGGAAAAGGAATGGGTATGAGTTGGACAGAATCATTTATACCCATCAGAGGGGCTCTGTCCCCTGCCCCACTATGGGAGAGATACTAGCAGAGTGACCCCAGGCGTTAGGAGAGTGTGGGAAGCAGAGTCCAGTGGTTACAGGCTCAGGCTCTGGGGTCAGGAGCTGTGGGTGGGGTCTACCTCGTTCACTGGCCAGCTGCATTCGTGGACGTGGGCCGGCCGGGAAGAGTGTTTCTGTTTGAATGTGACTGTCAGTCCTGCTGCCTTGGGCAGCTGCCAAGCCCTACCAGGGAGGGCTGAGAAGCAGCATCCCCAGGAAGCATTTTCAGCAGCCAACCCCAGCAGAAATCTATGTCAGGTGGTTTGTGGAAATCAAAACGAAACTAAGTTTTCTAAAGCATTTCCTGGGATCGGCCTGATCGCAGTCCACACAAGGAGTGTTTCCTAGGTTAAGGGCCTGGTCCCCAGAAGGCTCCTGTAGCAGCCGGTAGCTGCCTCTGTCAGGTAAGCCCCTGCCTCTCACTGTCAGGTGGGCACCCTCTCTCTACCTGAATCTAGAGCTTGGGGCCCTGAGCTCAGACATCACCACTGATGCGCCCAGATCCATAGGACCTCTGTACAGCTGGGCAGGTTATTCACTGCACAAGAGCACCAGCCAAAGGGGCAGGCGGGTTGCATTTAACCCTTGGCCCTCTCGGGTCTGTGCCTTCAGGCCAGGCATGTACCCACCCCGAGGAAGAGTGCTTTTTTCTATTTGCAGAGACACCATATAGGCCAAGGCAGGTAGTCTTGTCCCAACTTCCCATATGAGGGAGTCAAGCAAAAACAGTCACTGCTGCCCAAAGGGCAGTAACACTTGCATCAGGTGCTTGACTGGCCATTTTTTCCCAGGGCCCCAAGTTCCTGTCTCAGGGTAAACAAACCTGGTGTGCCTGGGCCTGGGGGAGTTCCCAGGACATGAGACTTCAGTGCTAAAGCCAGCACAGTCCCTGCACACGAGACAGCCAGTCACCCTGGCCCCTTCAGCTGCCTGCAGAGACAGATGCAGCAGGAGGCTGCATGCCCCAGCTGTGGCTT